TCCGCCTCCCACTCTCTCCCTATTTATTTCACAACCCCCTTCCCCTCCCCCTTTTCTGATGAAGGGTCTAGGCCCAAAACGTCAGCCTCTCTGCTCCTATGATGCTGCTTGGCCTGCTGTGTTCATCCGGCCCTGCACCTTGTTGTCGCACCCAGTAGGAATCTTTGTTTTCAGCTGAGAGATCAGTTAGAATCTTGGCTTAATGTCACAATGGAAAGATAACTTCTGCAGTACAATGGCTCAGTGGTTAGCACTGCCTGCCTCACAGCCCCAGGGACACGGGTTCGATTCCACCCTTGGGCGACTGTCTGTGTGGAATTTGCATGTTCTCCCTGTGTCTGCGTGGGTTTACTCCAGCGGCTCCTGTTTCCTCCCACAGTCCAAAGATGTACAGGGTAGGTGGATTGGCCACGCTAAACTACCCTCAGTGTTCAGAGATGTGTAGGTTGGGTACATTAGCCATGGGAAATGCAGGGTTGCAGGGGTATTGTAGGGTGGTGGGTCTGGGTGGGATCCTCTTCAGAGGGTTACTGCGGACTTGTTGGGCCGAATGGCCCATTTCCACACTGTGGGGATTCTATGATTCTATAACTCCTTTGACAGTGCTGCAATCCCTCAGCACTGACCCTCCAGCCACATGGCGCTCCCTCAGCTTTGAGTTTGATGTATCATCCTGATTGTAGACTCGAGTGTCTAGTGAGGGGCTTTTTGCATCACACGTGGCACTGTGTAGGGAGCAACATCTTAAGGATGAGGATTGACTGCGATTAATTTTTTGAAGGAATTTTGATATTAAACTGAGGCCTGACAGATTAACATTGTTTCTGTGTCCACTGCTGCCTGAGCTGTTGGATATTCCCAGCACTTTTTGCTCATATTTCAAATTGCCAGTGTTTTGGTTTTCCAGACCCAGTTTTCTGTATATTTCTTGCCAGCAGATGGCGGTGATAAGTGTTCTGTCAGATTATTCGAGATGGTGTGTTGCTGCTCTCTGTGGGTTGGAGTGAGATATTACTCAAATAAGCCTATAATATAGAACTTGCTTTGTCTATTTCCTCTGGTGGCTAGACCACAGTCACTGCTTGCAACTTGAGCTGAACTCTGGACTTGAGCAATGATTTCAGTCAACCAGTGCAATTTAGGAAACTCTCCAAAGATTTGCAATGGCTGTAGAATGGGTTCAGTGAGACCCACAGTCCATAGACTGGCAATGGGGCTGACTCCAGGGAAGCTGGAAGCAGACGTTATTCCTCCTGCCCAAGCTTAGTCACCACAGAACGTTCCAGGTTCCAGCAGCCAAACAGCAGACATAATACAACCATGGACACTATCAGAACAACATAACAAGTAGGAGCAGGGGTAGTCATTAGAGCTTGAGAGGCCATTTGACCTATCATTACCACCCTGCCCCTTTGAAAGAGCTGCCCAGTCATTCCCACTTCAGTTCTGTGCAGAGACAAGTGAAGCTGGGATTGTTTACAGAGCAGAGAAAAGAACAGGAAGGTGAAGAGGACATTTGATGCAAATGTAACCTAAGAGCATAGAAACAGCAGTACGCCATTCAGCCCTTCAAATGGGCTCTACCACCCTAGAACGTCCACCTCTTTGCCATATCCTTTGATGTCATTATCTAGAATTCTTCTAATCATTGTGTTGAATGTACTCAAAGATTGAGTTTCCTGTAGGAGTAGAGTGTCCCTCTGAGTGAAGGAATCCCTCTTCATCTCCATCCCTAAATGGCCTGCACCCTTATTCTGAGACTGTATTCCCAGGTATAGATTCTCCAGCCACAGGACACCATCCTGTATCTAAATCTGTTGTAAGACTTTTTTTTGCTTCAATGAGATCACCTCCCATTCTTCTACACTCTCAAACTGCCTTTTAAATCTCTCTATAGACTGTCCTATCATCCCAGGAAGTAGTACTGTCAATCTCCCTTCTACTTTCCCTGTGGTGAGTGTCCCCTTGGGTAAGGGGTACAAAACTGCACACAGTTCTCTGGGTTCAGTCTTGCCAATGTCCTATAAGAATTGAAGCAACACTCTGTTTGCTTCTGTCCTTATCCTGTTGCGATTACAGTCAAATGCCATTGGTCTTCCTAATTGCTGCTGCAGCCAAACATTAAAAATCATAGAATAAATCTTTTCTCTTTTTATTTCCTTTGGTAGCCAGCAGCTGGATAATCAGAGAACATAATTTTTAAGGTAATTAATGAAATAACCAGAAAGGAAAGGAGTTTTTTTTTTAACCCAGTGAATTGTTGTGATCTGGAACTTGCTGGCTGAAAGGATAGTGCAAGAAGACTCAATAGGAACGTACAAACCAGAACTGGGAAACTTAATGGAAACTGTTTAAAAGCCTTTGGGGGAAGAGCAGGATGGCAGATAGATCCAACAAAGATAGGTTGTACATGAAGGGCTGATTGGCCTCTATCGTTCCAAATCAGTCATTGATTTTGGTCGGGCTATGTGTAAGCCTAGAAAACTGTGCCAGATTCCAGTCTAACCACCTCTCTGTCATCACACCAGGATTACAAGTTAGAGGAGGATCCTGCAATATACAAGTCTATTAAGACAGGTCGTGGAAAACTGGGACCTAATTGGAAGGTACGTAGCATTGATTACTTTTCATTAACTTAATGTGATCGGCTGTGATACTTTTTTATTTTTAAGAAGGCTTTGTATAAATGTTCAAACAAGAAGACCAGATATAGAGTTCCATTTACACCATCTCCTTCAAACACTTGGAACAGGGTCAGCACAGAGTTAGATACAGAGTAAAGCTCTCTCTACACTGTTCCCCATCAAACACTCCCAGGACAGGGACAGCACGG